CTCTTCATATTTATATTAGTTAAAAGCAGGATTCCTTGGAGAATTTAAATCATCAATTTGTTTTTTTTTCAAATAGAAACACTATTTACCGAAAAAACTGCTCTGAATCATAAAAAATAAAAAAAAAACAATAAAACTATAACATTTAATTAGAAAAGCTTGTAATTGCTTTTATAAATAAGATATATTAAGGACGTTATTGTCTTAAGAATTTTTGCGATGAATAATAAATTTTTTAACAAAAATTGTTTTCATTTTTTTTTAAATTTTAATTACAATAATTTATAGTTTTAAATCTTAAATTTCCTTATTAGGTTAGGTGATATTGTTATCAAGTAAAAATTATATTTACTAATCATAAATGGAAAATCTTAGTACAATTCAGCAACCCCCAATATTCTAAAAATAATTGAATTTTTTTTGTGTGTAAATAAACATGCCAATTTTTGTAAGTATGGACATCCATATGAGTTGCATAAGAGTGATTACTAAAGTAAATTTAATGCCGAAGTACCTAAATTCAAAAAACATTAGATTAAGGAGTATATTTTCCTCAATCTTAAAGATTACTGGGTAGTTAAAAATTATATTAAAAAAATGCTCACATTATATTCCTCTAGTAATTTTTATAGATATGTCCACTGTAGAAACTTTTTTTATATTTTTTTTAGCTCGACTGACACAGAAGTTTATCTATCAACACCTTAAATAAACAGCACCCCATATTTCTGCAATATTTTAAACTAAAAGTAATATTTGTTTCAAATAAGATTAATTAAATATTATTCCTCAAAAGTTTCAGAAAAGTTAAAAGTATATTTCATTTATGAACGATTTTAATAAAGAGAATTACATTGTGCTGACAAATGGCTAAAAATGGTACTAAAATCAGTGATTTCAAAATTAATACTTCTTCCAGTCAATTTATTAGTTTTTTTTTGTCTATTAACAGGGCCTCTTAAGCCCCAAAAAGCACAATCACTTTTCTTGGGAGAGTTCACCACTGGTAACTTTATTTTCCACAAAAGTAAAAAACCTTAGGTATCGTGTTTCTGTGGAGGTACCTATTTTTAAAAAAATATTTCCGAATTTCTGTTGTTCAAAATAGGTTTCTAAAATAACTTAAAAAATAATTAAAATAAATTTATTGCTATCTCATGTAGAGAAGCAGGATTTTTTTTATTTTATAACTTATGCAACTAAATAATTTTAAAAATTTAATCCTATTAATTTTTTTATGAATGAAGTTTGTACCTGCAGTTTTTGTAGAGTCATGCACACATACATTCATCCACACAAATTGCCAACAATTAGTTGATTGATTAGCAAACTAGTTTCGCATACCACTAATAGTGGTGATTTTTCTATTGAACGACTTCCATATTGTATTCAAATTTGGTCATTGATGATAAACAAGAGTTGCTGCCCGTAAGTAGTTATTTCCCTTGTTAGTAAAAAAAAAAAAAAAAAGAAAAAGAGTTTTATAAATTTGTGTAACTCCTGGTTGAATATTAAAACGTCCAACTACATAAAAGTTGGTGGACTTAATTTGTTCAACCGAAGATGAAAGAAGACAAACAAGATAGATATATATCAACAAATATGTATTAAACAAATTACAAGGCACATAGACATAACATTGTGCGTGTGTTCTTTGGTGAATGTTTGTAATGTTCATAGCATTTTCCAGAAATGGGAAACGCTGATCTTCTAAGAGCTTACATCTTGTCGTCGAAATGAAGAAGAAAAAGAGATTTACCTCACCTCCACGCGAGGTGGAATGCGGCACGAGGCCTGAGGGAAAAAATATACCCCCTTCTCCCAACGCAGCAAGATAAAAAAGGTAACTTTACTTTAACTTGAAAGAACAATATTTAAACTTAACTCTTTGTTAGCCAATATCAAGAAAATTATTAAATATAAGACTTCACGAATAAAAATTATGTTCTGACTCCAACAACTAAATGGAAGATTAAATAAAGGAGAAAACTAATTCAACGATAACCTTTGAATGCAGCATTCGATGAACTCATGTCTTAGGCAAGGCCAATGAGTATTTATGCAAGAAGAGAATAACAGATGAGCAAAATTAGAAAAAATATACAATCAAACGTTAAGTAATTTTTTTTTTAGCAATTTCAATTCACTAGAAAAAAATTGAATACCGAATATTTCAAACAAGTTAAATTTTGTTTTATACATATGTAGTAAATAAAGTTCTTACGGTCAACGTGACTTTAAACTTCTTTGTTAAACAAGCAATGTAGAGATTATTGTACGACGGAAAAAATACAAATCGAAGGCATAGAACAAAATATTTTACCTACCATTGTGGACTATATAAGCAAAGGTCTTTAGCTGGGGATCCATTAAAAGCGAAAAATTTGGCGCACTATGATTTAAATACTAGCTAATAGTGACGTTATGATTTCCATTAGCAACAGCTGTTAAAACATGGGAGTATGGATATTTGGAATTAGACTGACCGTAAAGTTGAACGAAATTTTAAATGTTGAAAATATTTTTTTTTATGTGCACATTATATACTTGAAAGTATTCTAGTGAATTGAATTGAGACAGTGAATAAAACAGAATAAACATGGTAAATATATGGAACAAGAATGTAATGAATGATTAGAATTGATCCGAGGTGGAAATTGGTTGGAGTAAGGAAATAAATTAAACACTGGTGCTGAGAAATGAACAAGGATTTACTTTAATTTACAAGATATGAAAATGTATCTGGTAAGTCGTATAGTGTAGCGTTCGAATGTATGGTGCACGAGGCCTGTGTCACTTCTTCAATTTTTTCGGGTTCGTCTAACTAACATCGACATTTGAACCACACAAGTCCATTGTTTTTAGTTGTTTCGCTAAATTCATGGCCATCATTTCCAGTAAAAAGCCCAAATGAACTATTATGTTATGATAATGCCTCATTCCAGAAATTTGGATAGTTCTCTATAGGCTAAGAATTTGTAGAGCTATTTGTGACATTTTCAGATCAGCAAATGAGAAGACTGAGAAATGGAAGGATTGAGGAAATGACAAAAAAGGAAGAGGGTTCGGGAAAACAGATGGCGATTGATATTACACTTAAAATTTTTAAAATTGTAGTTAACAGAGAATCAAGAAACGTGGAGGAGTTCCACAGATTGGAAGTGTGGGAAAATAAACTGTTGGAGTAGAAGTGGAGGTTACATCTAGCTAGTTCAGCAGTAAAAAAAAACAAAAAAACAATGGGACCTAGTTGCTAATCTAGTAGCACGCTTAAGTTCATGTAGTCGGGCACCAGGGAAAAAGCTTGTCAGATCAGATGCCATGAAAATATTTGTAGAAAAGACAGCTTGATATGTGAAGCACTGTTTGTCACCAGGTGTCAAGAAAACAAGAAATAAGTCCCTGAGTTGTCTGGTGGAAAACAGATACCTGTCTGTAAGAAATATTTATGTGAATTGACATTATATTTACAAAGCTTAGTTTAATAAAAACACAATGAAAAATAAGAGGTGAGTAAGAAGATTGCAGTGCGCTTTCTTCCAAGTGGATAAGACTTCTTGTGTGTGCTGTGTCCCTTTGGGACGTTGGCGATCATGGCTCTCTACAACTTCATCTCCTTTGTAGCTCTTAGTAAATTTTGTCTTTTTGTCATCTTTCCTAAACTCTGCTCAACCATCCAGTCACACAGGTTCTTTAGGTAGGTTATACGCCGTTTTCCTCTGTCCCTCTTGCTTTCAATGTATTCTGTGGGTATCAAACTTTCCAAGCCCTCTTTCTTCATAATGTGCCCTTGAAATTTCAGCTGCCTCTTTCTGATGTTAAACGTAAGTTTCCTTTTTGTTTTCCTTTTCTCTAAAACTTCGTCGTTGCTCACATGTTCAGCTGCCTCAAAAATCAACGTTTGAATTCAGTATTTTTATTTATTACTACCTTTTTGGACACCCATTAAGAATGATTAAATAAAAAGAATGAAAATATGAAAAAAAATTAATGAAATCTCCCCACATTTACCGACGATAATCTTTAAAATTGAATACTTTCCTAGATTCTATTTAACAAATGAAAAACATTTTGATTGAAAGTTTTAACATTAATCTAACTCATCAATATTACAAATAGACAAAAAAAGTACATAGTTAAAGGGAGGTGACTCGGACTTGCACATTACCTCCCTTACATCATTAGTATAGATTGTCGTCGTCGGCTTCATCTCGTATCCTAGAATTTAATTTCTTCTTTTCTGATCGCTTCTTTTATGATAATGGCGTTGTTGACTTAGTTGACCAATTCTTGTATGGAAGAGGCGATGGCATTGACTGCATAGTAATGTTGGTGGAGGACAAACTTGATTTTATCAAACCTTTCTTTCTTGTCGTTCATTTTCTCTTCTGGTGGCTTCAAAATTTTTCGTTCCGATAGTGATGGAACATCGCTAGTTGTTACTGTCTTATGCATGTATTTCAAACGATTTAGGCACAAGTCTAGTGGCTTTCTGTGTTGTTTTGAGTTAGTCCTTGTATCTTTGAAGAAAGAAATCCTGTGGTCTTTTCCCTAAAAGTGAGCTCAAGACTTGACGTGGAAACCTTGACTCTTCTATTCTTGTTACATGTCCTGACTATCGAAGATGGTGTTTAATAATCAGCGATTCGATGCTTTGACTATTGGCTCTTCCCAGGACTTTAGTGTTGGTCACATAGTAATTCCATTTGATGTTCAAAATTAAACGAAGCTTTTGCTGGTGAAAGAGTTTTACTGTTAATTTTTGCATATTGCGATGATATAAAGTCCAGGTTTCGCGACTATATAACAAAGTTGAAATAACAACATCATTATAGACCATAATTTTTGTTGTTAAGTTTACATCTTTGCTGTTGAAGGCACGTTTGATTAGCTTTCCAAATACCCCGTATGCAGCTCCAATTCTGTGTTTCACATATTTTTCTGAGGTACACTTGTTTTGATATCAGTCTATCTAGATATTTAAATTGCTCTACTTGTTCTTAAGATGTATTACAGATGGTAATATCAAAATTTGGTAAGATGGTATTTGGAGCTGGCTGTGCAAGGGGCTTCGTTTTCTTGACTTTTACTGTAAGGACAAAACAATTGTAGATCACAGCAAAATTGTTCACAGACTGTTGAAGTTCTTTTGAATGACAGCGTCCTCACCAGAGAGGAAGATCCTAGAATATGGAGACAAAACATCAGAAGTTACTACCAGTGCCCGGGTGGGAGACCGCACCTAGCGGGCATCATGTGGTCCAATCATTTGTGTATATATATATATATATATATATATATATAAATATATTATATATATTTATATATATATATTTTTTGGTTTTATTGATTTCGAATGTTTTGTTTTTATTTTAATTTTAATTTTCACAAATTTAGTTATAACACTAAGATTATTTATAATAAAAATCCCATTTTCATCCTTACGGATTTAAACCGAATAAACAATTTAAAAAGGTGATGTATTTTGTTTGATGCAGCTAACAAAAGGATCGTTCGCATTGATTCGATGATCCCAACTATTTATTATCTCATGAGTTTTTCTTCACCTTATTGTTGCATTTTATCCATATATAATAGATCGGTATATTTTTCTACTCTGTAACAATAAAATACGTACCTTCACAGATTCGCGATACCTAAGGTTTAAAATGAATTTTTAAAAATGAGAAAATCTTACTTGAAGCTTTTATTTTAGTTTTAATTTCAAGCTAATAGTTTAAATTTAATATTTCCATTGCTGTATTTCAAAGCTAATTTAAATTCATTGGAAGGTGTTTTATATTCTGTGTCATTTCTTGACGTTATCTGCTCTCATATAAGAGAAATTCACCTATAACCCACTTTTTTCTTGTTCTTCCCTCCGGTTGTCACTAGAGCTTCCGTTAAGGTATTTTACTTTGAGTCTCTGACCTGTTCCAAAGTTTCATATTGTTTTTTTTTAACTGCAACAACATATATTTGCTTACAAATGAAACCGCTACGAAGTTTGTTGTATTGCTGTTTAGGCATTACTTTGGGATTCGTTCATTTTTGTAGTCTTGCGTCTGACTGGGAAGTGATCATTGAACAGTGAAAAACTGTATTTCTGAATCGTTTGTTGATAGTTTAGCTTGTTTTTATTGTTTTATGCTGTCCATGCACATCTTGTGTATTCTTCAAACCAGGTGTTGGTTAATACATGTAGCAAGAATAAAAGAGTCAAGGTTTCCCCGTGAAGTCATTCACTGTGAACCAATTTTTATCTGTCTTCTTTGATTTGATCGAAGTTCATACTTGTCAGTAATTTCACTATTTTGTTCTGTTTTTACCTTTGCATTTAGAACCCCAATGATATTGATACTTTCTTGCGATATGCTCTGATATGTGACATTTTTAATGTCTTGGTAAACCCAACTCGTTTTTCTTCAATGTTTTTTAGACGCGGGTGCACATGCTATTGTGATCGCTATATTGAATTGTTTCCTTTTCAGTTTTATTAGAACAAATTTATAGTTCCTAGAACCATAAAACGCACTTACTTTTGTCTTTATCTAATATTAGTCTGACTCCTCTTTCATTTTTCTCTTCCTGCTCATATGATTCTGCAATGGTCGGTTATAAAATCCCCATTGTTTTTCCATAACATGCGGAGTGTTTATATCCAGCCTTTATATTTCGTATTTTACATTTTCTAACTTTCCACGTTAGTGCATTTTCCTAACATTGCATAAGTTTAGGATATTTATATATTTTTTTTTTTTATAGATGATTGGTACGAGAGAGTGCTGAAAAGCCTTCAGCTCGACTAAGAAGGAATTAAAAAATCTGATATTTGGTTATTTGGGGCAATGTGTTGGGCCGTAAACATTTCATAACTCCCTACTATAATGTTCGTGTCCACTTAGGTTCGTAGCATAGGCATCATAGCAATTTACTGAAGCTCATATAAAAATTTGAGTGAGAATTCATAACTTTCTCTCTACACGTGGAATGAAAATATGTTATCAATATGTTAAGCAATATATACTAAATAATGAACGATCTCCTTTTACGTGGAAGATACATTATGCTTTTTTTCGTATGTTCTGAAAATTCAAGTGAACTGCGTAAATTTTATTATTTGCATTATATCAGAATCACCAAAAATGTCTTAGTCTCTCAGTACACATAAATATAATTAAAAAACAACTTGGGAGAAGAATAGATTGGTAATTCAAAGAGCAGTTATTAGACAATTACCAAGAAGTTATAGATGCAACCTTTTTGCTAATTAATCTGCACTCATCCATCGGTGAAGAAATGGGGATATTTATTTCTCTTCCCTTCTAAAAAAAAAAAAAAAAAAGAAAAAAAGAAAAGAAAGGATAACGGAAGGAACATAGTATTACAACAACTTGGTTTGGCGATAAACATTTTTGCCATTTTGTTTTGGTAATTATGGAAAAGGGTCTGTTATTTACTCTTCTTATCACATACTTTTCCCCTCTACCATCGTAGCATACAGTGACAATATGACAATAAAGGTCTTCTCGGTAAAACAGAGAATAAAGAAAGATGGCTTCATATAGGCCGTTCTGCAAATAGTATTTATCAGCAGACACAATAGGAATTTGAACAATTTGCTAGTTTCCAGTTGCCAAGCTGATTCACTCAGTACTTTCAATTATCGTACAAGATGCCAAGCCATCATATAGTGCCTAAGTGCATATTTTTGCAAGAACCTGGTGTAAACGTGTTAAATTGTATTTTTAGACTTTAACTGCAAAATCATACTTGAATTAATATTCGAGTAATAAAATTATTGTTAGTGTTTCGATGATTATTTGCATTGATTGCTTTTAGGTATATTGTTGGGAATTAGTTTCTGCCTTTGCGCTGTAAAATTGCCTGGTCTGCAAAAATCGTAAAAAATATTCATGTTTCGGGTGGTTAACAAACGAGATTATTTAAAGATTTATTCGAACTGCTTAATCGATTCTTTATATTCTTTTTATTGCAACGTTTCATTAGATCCATTCTTGAGCCCTTTTGGTTAGCAAAAACCTTGTGATTAGAACAAAAAGCAACAGCAAGAATGAATTAAGTAATCTGGACAACTCTCTTAACTAAAATGACACGATTTTAAAAGTAAAGACAAGATTCAAACGAGCTTGTTTATACGATTTTAATTGGTTATATGATTAAAGTTAAAATAAGTAAATAAGCAGTACATAAATAAAAGAAACTCAAAAAATTGTTTGACAGAATTTATTGTATTAACAAAGTTCTTACATTGTGGATCGACAACAGTTTCATTTTTAGAACAATCATTGAATCCTTGGACATCATTTTACATTAACGAAATAATGAACGAAATAAATAAAATAGCAGTAGATACATCACAACAGTCCATGACCCTTTTAGATTATTATCCTTGTGTGTGTTTATTTTTTCAAGTTTCGTCCAATGCCCCATCCGGTAACCAGTAAAAAATTTTGAATGTAACTCATTATTATAAGAAAAATACACACACACACACACACACACACACACATTTAGTAACAAATAAAATTGAATGTTCATATTATATATATAAATATATATATATATATATGGACGTTGGAAAGTTCTGTATATTATATACTGAAAAGTTCCCCGCGTGGTCCATTTCATAAAATCTGAAGAAATAACCAAAATTTTGTTTTGGAAAGGTTTCTTGATCGAACTGAGAAATTTTCAACACCCCATTTGATGTATGCGTTCATATATGTACACTGAAAAGCACATGATTTCAATGAAGAAAAGCAACTAGTAGGAGCATTGGGGTTTTAACAATCATCAAAAGAATCGATGAATTTAGCTGCTACAAATCAGAATCTGTGACTTTGCTATTCAAATGGATCGCTGAGTCAATGTTATGAGACCAGATCAAGAAGAAGCAAATCATCAAAAGAAAATTTGCCAGCAAATCGTGGAATAAAATTTAAAGAAGGTGAAAAGCTAGAAAAAAATTCCAGAACTTCTGAAAGGACTGAAAGAGAAATGTTGTTGTCCCTATTACGTGAAAAAAAAATTGTTTGCAGACCTTATGTGTTTTCCTATTTCTTTATTTGTTTATATATAGTTGAGTTTTTTTTCGATCTGTAGACATATATCGAATATTTGTTTTTCTGTTTGCTTTTGGGTGAACGAGTGTTATTGTATGTATGGTTATACATACATACATACATACATACATACATACATACATACATACAGACAGACATACATACAGACAGACAGACAGGCATAAATACAGACTGATAGACAATCTCCCCCCCCATATATATATATATATATATAGAGAGAGAGAGAGAGAGCGAGCGAGCGAGACCGAGTGAGAGTGCGTTGAAAGTTATATAATGTTACTATTGTGTATGTATTTTTTTATAAATCATATTCATTTAAATTAAAATTGTAAATTTTTTTCTTCATACACCGGCAAGCAACAGCTGTTGTTATATTTTTCGGCACATAGTTGTAAACGCCTTCTGTGCAATTATCTGTTCGTTGTAGAACCAATTTTTTTTTATAGATGTGAAAGCAGTCATTGAGTTCATGCGAATCCGAACAGTCACGGCACAGGCATATCACACGAATTCTTTTTGCGGGGAATAAAGTTTCGTCAGTTATCACTTTCAGAGCTATGGGACAAAAATGTGAAGTATTCATTTTATTATCCGGGCATATTTTCAGTTGTGCGCTGTCAGTATCATTGACTTCTACAGGGAGTTTATTATTTGCTTGAAGATCATTGTACATCTTTTCCAGATTTGTCGGATTTCGGCATTTCAAAGAAGCACTATGAACCAAGGTTATAATTAGACAAAGTGCAGTGAAGCGAACGAGGAAAACCTGCAAGTAAGTAAATATACATATATTTAAAATTCTCTTATAGACAGTTTTTGATAAAGTATACTTACACAGAGATCACGTTAAAGTAAAACAAAAACATTAAATATACAATACCATTCTATTCACTTGAGAAGCTAAGTTAAATCTAATAATGTTAAAAGAAAGCAAAAACTCGTAAGAACCATGGCTTAACGTTTTGCTGCATGACTTAATATCACAGGGTAATAACCCGGGTACAATGTTTTACTGGATGACTAGATATAAAAGGGCGGTAACCCTTGTTCAATGTTTAACTGGATGATTGAATATAACAGGGCGGTAACACTTGTTCAATGTTTTACTACATGACTGGATATAACATGGCGGTAATCCTTTTTCAATGTTTTACTTGATGGCTGAATATAACAAGGCGGTAGCCCTTGTTTAATTTTTTACTGCATGATTGGACATAACAAGGCGGTAACCCTTGTTCAATGTTTACTACATGACTGGATATAACAAGGCGGTAACCCTTGTTCAATGTTTTACTGCATGACTGGATATAACAAGGCTGTAATCCTTGTTCAATGTTTAACTGGATGATTGGATATAACATGGTGGTAAAAGGGTTCTAATCTCAGTTTAATGTTTTACGGGATGATAGGATATAAAAAGATGGTAACCCTGGTTCAATGTTTGACTGCATGACTAGATATAACAGGTCGGTAACTCTAGTTTAATGTTTTACTGCATGACTAGATATAACAGGCCTGTAACCCTAGTTCAATGTTTTACTACATGACTGGATATAACAAGGCGGTAACACTTGTTCAATGTTTTACTAGATATAACTAAGGTTTTAACCTTAGTTTAACGTTTTACGGGATGATAGGATATAAAAGGATGGTAACCCTGGTATAATGTTTTACTACATAACTAAATATAACAGGTCGGTAACCCTAGTTCAATGTTTGACTTCGTGACTAGATATAACTGGTCAGTAAACCCAATTTAATTTTTTACTGCATGACTAGATATAACAGGTCGGTTACCCTAGTTCAATGTCTTACTGGATGGCTGGATATAACAGGATTCTAACTCTAGGTTAATATTTCACCGGATTATTTGATATAGCAAGGCTGTAACGCTGGTTCAATCTTTTACTACATGAGAGCGTCGTAATGTCGATTTGAAGCAGGAAACAGTTAAGATTAAACTGTGAAAAACCCAGGGAAACTAATTAAGTGTCGAGGGGAATAATAAAACAAGGAACGTGTTAATGACAATATTTAGAAGTCATAAAATGAGTACGAAGAAGGCCCTGTGAATATTCGAACAAGAAAATCAACAAAGTAGATGTCATTAAGATTTAGTAAGACGAGATCTTCCCCAGTTTAGTTAATTTCCTCTGAAGCAAATGTACATTTGTTACTAAAATCCAGACCAGGGGTTTCACCTGACTTCATTCCAAAAAGAGCCATCTGTTACTAAAAAAAAAGTCATGAATATTTCATCGAGTCGAGGTCTGTTCATAAAACCTTTTTCTCCTCACGCTGCTGCTGCTTTTGCCACCTACACTCACAAGCCAAGATAGACAAGAATACAGTGCCAGGACCAAGGTCTCTCTAATTATTGCGAATTACTGCTCAACCAGGCTACATAGATTAATAACTCTTTACTCCTTATACACTTTATAATTCTTAAATTTATTTTCATTAAACACGTTGTTAGTTACCAACAGAATTATGTAGTAAAGATGGCAATAGCATTTCAATCAGTTTCGATCAACGTCCAAAACAATCGTTTCTATACAGAAATAGACCGTAGAAATCGTTCATGTCTTAAACAACTCATTGAAGAATGGAAAGAAGTTACAAAATACGTTTTGTTACTAAGCATAATATGAATTTGTTTATCCTAGGGTGCATCGAATTCAATCCTTACTAGGTGTCCTATGCAAAATTCGACATTAAATAACCGAAAGTGTTGGTGTGTCGTAAAAACAACCAACCAACATTGTTTATTCGAAATAACATAAAACAACCTCATATTGTAATAAAAGGGAAATAACCTTTAAGTTTTAATGATAATTTTTTAAAAGATGTAAGATATTTGCTAGTTCATTTGTCATTGCATTCAAAAGCCAGAATTTAAAACAAAAGCAAAATATGATGTGGAAAATGATATTATTATTATGACTAATAATCCTATAAATAATTAAGTTTTTCCCTCCTTTCGTTAGTTAGTTTCTTAGTTTGCACGATCCTTACGCCCAGTCAGTACCTCATAAATAATGAACTATTCCGTTCTGCCCGTTTGAAAAGACGGAAATGACATATAAGAGATGCTACTTTGTTTCAGTGAGAAAAGGAAAGCAAGCAAGAAAGAAAAAACGAAAGAAAGAAAGAAAGAAAGAAAGAAAGAAAGAAAGAAAGAAAGAAAGAAGAGAATATACAAGTGTTTAACGTCTCCTGCCAATACCTCATAAATAATGGACTAATTCATTTGGATTGCGTGGAAAATCATATCAAAGATGCGACTTGGTTTCAGTAAGAAAGAAAGAAAGAAAGAAAGAAAGAAAGAAGCGTTTAAATATTTTCCTGGTTGTTATTGCAATATTTTGTTAAAGTTGTTAAGCTCAAATATTTAACGATATGATAGGGGAATTTCTACGGATATGTTATTGTCGTATGAGCTTATTCAATCATTAACTTAAAAATTAAGATTCATCAGAATATTAAAATTAAATTTTCATGGGTCTTTCTAGTAATGATACAAAAATAAAAGTAGTTACAATAATAATTACACGAACCGGGATAATAATAATTGCGATGATGACAATAGTTATGTGAAGACTGTAATAATAATAATAATAATAATAATAATAATAGCATCAGAGATAAAAATAGTTTACCAATGTAATGTTTTGAAACTTAAAAACCAATCCTACCACGTATGTGTACAACGTACATAAAAAGAACTGACCAAATAATATATGGGCATGGCTGACTTGTGTCAATAGAGGACATGATAGGGCTACTCAGTACGTATATTGGTCATTATGCCGGACATTCAATCTTACTCGCAAAGTGTTGGGGGCATAAACCGCCATAAGTTGTATAGAATGATGAGGTTACAATCCTCTGGAAGTTCAAAATGATCTGGGAAATCCATGCAAATCCTAGAAACATAATTGTGAAAAATTATGTTGAAAAGTTATGTCTGCTGATATATCTTGCAGCTCCAGCTGAAAGTGATGCAGTTGAAAAACTAAGTAAATTCGAAACAGAAATCAGTAGAATGTGGCATCTCAAAGCAAAGACATTACCTGTTGTTATAGGGACTATATAGGGAATTATATCAAAAGGAACAAACAAATATGTGGATTTCTTGACCACTCACAATATGTAAATCGCAAAAAAAAGAAAAAAAAAAAATCATACGCATGTATACTTCTCACATCTTGCGTAGATTTCTCTCCATTCAATGACCACAATTAATTTTTTTTTCAGATTGCATAACACTTTATCTGTTTGCATCATCATGTTGTCTCTTGAAGTCTCTGGTTGAGACTTGGGGCAACTCGTACTAAACAAAGCAAAGGCAAATAATAGTAATAATAATAATAACAACAACTGAAGGTTTTATCCTTGCTGCACAGGACCAATGCTTGCTAACTAGGAATTATCAAGCACATATACTGAAATATTGTCAGCCCAAAATGCAGATTCTGTGATAAATATCCAGAAACGATTGATCATCTTGTATCAGGTTGCACGATATTGGCACCCACTGAATATAAAACCCGGCATGACAGAGTGGGCCAATATCTGCACTGGAAAATCTGCAACTTCTACGCGAAGGAAACTGAAAGTAACTGGTATGAACACCACCCAGACCCGTTTACGGAGATAGGACCTGTTACAGTTCTATGGGACTACACAATACACACTGACAGAACAATCAAAGTCAACCGCCCAGATATTGTTATTAATGACCACAAACAAAAACGGTGCCTCCTTATTGATATGGCAGTCCCTGCTGACTGCAATGTATCTTTGAAGATATTCAAAAAGCTGTCAAAATACAAGGACCTTGAAATAGAAATCTCGAAAATGTGGCATATGGGAACATCAACAATCCCTGTTGTAGTTGGAGCCCTGGGATTGGTTGGAAAAGATTGCAGTAGACTAATTGAAGAGATTGCTGGAAGTCCATGCCTCAAGGAGATACAAAAAATTGTTCTGACAAGTACAGCCCACACTTTACGAAGGGCTTTAACTATGTAATATTTATTTATTTATTTTTTGTCAGTGGAAAGTGTCATGATGCCATTACTAACCTTAGGTCTCTGGGCGGGACCCGGAAAGAAATGTGTAAACGCCAGAAATCAAAGAAAATAAAAATAACAATAATAATAATAATAATAATAGATGAATCATTAAATTAATATAAACGCAAATACTACAAGGTGGGCAATTGGATTCTGTTAGATACTGTTCTAGAAAATATAGAAAGTAACATACTTTACGTCTTTGGGATACAAACGGACTACATAAGCCAGGCTAAAAAAGCTAGATCTAAAAATGTTGCGTGTAAAGAAAGAAGCATTTCTTATCTGCAACTGCACAGAGATCGGGGCAGATGAAAGATAATAATAAAAAGAGTAAGTAGCAACCAGAATCATTGACATTCTGCGGATGATTTCAAAGGCGCTTGCAAAAAGGCTAAAGAAAAAAAGGGGACAAAAAAAGCTATGAATGCAATGAAGAGTAGAAACTAATCAGAGTATTGTCATTTTAAGATCGTCACGAATACTAGAGAAAAATTACAATAAACATTAAATAGTTTGTAACTTTGCAATTCGAATGGATCAAAAGTCATGATATCGAGAAGAAAATAATCAATTTCAGATAGATGACTATGCTGTGAGAACAAACCATGGAATAAAATTGAAAGAAAGTGTAAAGAGGGAAAGGACTGAAAAAAAAACAAAATAAAAAAACTGAATGCTGATGGGAGTACGGACATATTGAGGAGATTACTGTCACTTAGTATCCAGTGAAAATTACCAGTTATGATTGGTGTAAAAAATAGTACAAAAAACAACAAGAAAAAAAAAAAAAAAAAAACACAAAGAAAAAAGACAACAACTGAAAATGAAGAACATACCTTCATTTTGACAAGAAATGAATTTTAAGAAGTAAGTCTTCTGTGTTGTCTTTTTCGTTCAACTGCAATCAACTCCGGTCAATTCTAACAAAGTCAAGCAATGTGAAATATTTATATATTGTTTAACCTCTACTTATTTTTTTTTCTATGCGGATTTACGCACAAAACTCCTTAAAAACCGGACAATCGTATTTTGTTTCTAAGCGGAAGATAGGCATAAACCTAAGCACATGATTTCAGTAAAATTATCCAATGGTTTATTTCCTTAACTTAATGTTTTTCTTTGAGATAATTAATTTTGTTTAAAATATATATATATATATACATACATATATATATATATATATATATATATATATATATATATATATATATATATATATATATATATACAAATACATACATATAGACAAACACACATCTACCTCTACATGACATGCATACAGATATTTTTTTTTCAGACATAAGTTGAGATCCATTTCTATATATCATATATATATATATAATATATATATATATACGTATATCAAATATATATATATATATATATATATATATATATATATATATATATATATATATATATATATATATATATATATATATATATATATATATATATATATATATATATATATATATATATATATATATATATATATATATATATATATATATTGAATTTAGATAAAGAGAAGTCCTGGTTATTCCAATTTAAGGCCCACAAATAGATGATGATGAATGGAAAAGATTTTTTTATATTTCCAGTAAAGTTGATGATTCTGGATTTTCACATCCTGAAAAGGACAAAAATGCTATTGTTAGATATCGTAGTGATATTTATGCTATGAATTTCAAATTTATTCTATGAAAATTCTTTTGCTATAAATAGATTTTTAGTTATTTTGTGGGATAGAGAGTGATTTTTAAGAAAATTAACTTGTTAATTCATACTTACTGTTATTAAAAGAAGTAAAAAAGACAGATAATCGAAGATGGCCGGATGGTACAACGGCCGAAACATTGATAATAACAACAAAAATTAGGATATTATTCCGACTGTAAATAAATAAATAAAAACTTTATTTACAATTAATGATTTTATAAATCACTTTTAAATGATTTTCTTCCATGGCCGTGTCCCTTCGGGACGTAGTAGATTATGACTACCCACAATTTCCTGTCCTTCATAGATCTTAATAAATTTTGTCTTTTTGATATTTCTCCAAAATCCTGTTCCAACATCCATTTATTTAAGTTCATTAAGTATGTTACGCTTTGTTTTCCTCTGTCCCTCTGTCCTGTGAGTATCAGATTTTCCAAACTCTCTTTCCTCATTATGTACCTTAGAAGTTTCAACTGTGCCTTCCTGATGTTAAGTGTAAATTTTCTTTTTATTTCCATTTTCTCTAAAACTTCATCGTTGCTCACATATTTGGTTCATGTTATCCTCAGCATCTTTCTGTAGAACTACATTTCTGTTGCTTCAAGTGTCCTCAACTTTGAGGAGATTATCCAGCATTCACTGCCATATAGGAGGACAGATATCATGTAATAATTCAGTACTCTTTTCTTTGTTTCTAATGAATTTTTTTCTGTTTCTTAATACTTTGCATAACCTTTGGAATGCATGTTTGTCTATCCCAATGCACCTTCAGATTTCAGTACCGTACTTTCCGTCCTCTGTTAAAACACTTTCCGGATATTTAAATTGTTGTAGTTGTTTGATTTTGGTATGTTCAATTTTTAATCTTCATTTTGGTCTCATCTTTTTGCTAACAACACAAAATCAAAACTAAAAGTTCGAGCTTAAAAAATTATTGGTTAGGATGTATTAATAAGGTGACAATGATTAACTTACAGTTACAGTGTAGCGCAGTTAAGCCCTACTTTATGTCCGACTATATATTAAGAAATCAGTCAGTTATGTGCCATGCGTGATACACGCTTAGGCGATCATGTATCTTTTCGATATATGACTGACGAGGCAGATTTTTTTCCATAGTAGGTATTAAGAAGTAAAGAAACGAAATACTCTAAGCCCAAAGTATTTATTTTTTTCTGCATAGCAAAATCACCTAGAAGTTCATTAAAATTTGTTTGTCTAAGTTTATAATTCTTAATACATAGAATATTCAATGTAGACAACTTTTCCTGGGACATTGTGATTTTTAATGCATTTTTAATTCTTTTGAGTCTTTAAAAACATCTCTCTTTCTCCATTAGTTAGAGATCACCAAGCTAAGAAACCACCAGAAGATTGTTTTCACATTAGGAAAGGTCATCTGAACTCTTTTCTAGTATATAATTTGGGTCTACGGTCACATCACGTTGAAGCACCGATTCCCGTACGATCGCCGTTAAGCAACGTTGAATCTGGTCAGTACCTAGATGGTGACTGCCAGGTGTTGTAATCTTGGATGTAACTTGGTGTAATGGATAATGGGTCGGAATTGTGAATCAGAGAGCCCAGTTCCAATTCCAGTTGGGTTCGTTATATTTACTTGGTGAAGGTATGAATTAATCTCTTCTCTCCCATCTGTGGGTTAATTAATAAAACATATCACTAAATCATTATTATCTACAAAAAAAAATTCTTACAATCTAAAAATATTTACTGGCTTTAAATAACCTGCAATGGGTTGATAAACCGTAGAAAACTAATCATTAAATCTAATATAATTTAATAAAGGTCTGTATGAGACAGAGAGTGCTCTTCTGTAGGATTATGAATTTGTTTCACTTACAAATGAAAGTGCAAAAATTCGTCAGTTAGTTTCAGGTCAACATCTTCCGGATACGTTTTCATCTTTGCTTAGATGCCATCAGATTAGCCAGAAAGGAAAAAAAAATCGTGTAACATCATTGTACAGAAGAACTTCAGCTGTCAAACGTCTCACATGTCGAACAAATCGGTTTTCGAACAGAAAATTCGAGATGAAAATGCCTCGGTTACCGAACAAAATTTCGGTTCTCGAACAACATAGTCGAACCGAGTTAACACGAACAGAATAATTTCTGAGTCGACCGCCTTGTTGTATACATTCGTGTGTTGTGTCGTGGTTTTCTTTTTCAATTTTATTGTACTGTGTTTTTTTTCTCTACATTGATTCCTACTGGAAAAATAGTTTCGGTTTACGAACATTTCGGGTTACGAACGGCCTTCAGGTACGAATTAAATTCGTGAACCGTGGTTCCTCTGTATTTAGTTCTTCTTAAAAATTAGTTTAAACGTATCTCTTGAAGAGAGTTTATCTAAAGTACCAAATGCATTTCTATCATTTCCTCGTTATTTGATTAATCTTTGGTCCCTTGTGAACATTGGCAAGGCAGCCTTTGCTTGTTGCATAAGCTTATCAAAATCTCTTCTAATTTACCTTTTAAAATTCTGAAGTGAATGGTACAAGCTTGTACAAATATTCAATAAATGTTGTGACTTCTGAATGGCTTCATTGTATATAAACAAGATATAGCACACAGTTGCTAAATGCAGCATAAACACAAATTTTAATTTCTTCGATTTTCTACAGATGATTGTTAGGTTGAAGTCTGATATCACCCTTCACATTAACACATGAAGCCTGATATCACCCTTCACCTTAGCATCCAAAGTCTGATATCACCCTTCACATTAACACCTGAAGCCTGATATCACTCTTCACATTAATACTTAAAGCCTGATATCACTCTTCACATTAACACTGAAGCCTAATATCACCCTTCAACTGAGGTCTGATGTCATCCTTCACATTAACACCAGAAGACTGATATGACCATTCACATTGATACCTAAAGCCTGATATCACTATTATCTTAAGAAAATTGTTTTCGATAAATAATGAATTTTTATAAAAATTGTTTTCATTTAAAAAAAATTTAATTAATATAATTTATAAAGATTTAGATCTTTTAAAATTCTGTATTAATTTGTCCCTGTTATGTGATATTGTTATTAAGCAAAAACTATATTTAATAATTATAAATGGAAAAACTTACTACAATTTTGCGACCACCAATATCTTGAAAAGAATGTTGAAATTTTCTTTTGTGTGTATAAACGTGCCAATTTCTGTAAAAAAAAATCAATAAAATATTAGACTTTTGAAAGTATTTAATTTTTTAAAATTACTTTATTGTTAAATAAGCTGGTTCACTTAAAATTCGAAAATACTGTCACTTCTGTTCTTCCGTCCGATAAATTTCCCTGACGTTAGTTGTCGCTACATTGACGTAAAACGTCAATTCACACTTCCGAAATCAATCACCACGGTTAGAAATGTTTCTCTTATTTTCAATTAATTTTTTTCTGCTAAAAAATAAGTAATGTTTGTTTCCAATTCCATTCCATTAAGTAAACTTTAAATTTCTAATTTTCCTCAAATAATTTTTGAAAAAATATAATTGAATTTTACCAGATATTTAATTTCACTTTACGATGTTGTCAAAAATGGCGGATATGATCGATTTTATGGCAGTTTTGCTGACTAAATAAAAAAAAAAAATGAAAAGATTTTTAACTCAAATTTCGGACGTGCTAGGAAGTATAAAAATGTAAAAAAATAATCAAAAACTACTTTTGTCTTTCCTCTTAATAACAACATAGGCATAAATGCCTATGTTGTTATTAAGAAGAAAGACCAAAGTAGTTTTTGATTATTTTTTTACATTTTATAAAAAAATTGTTTATCAAGTTTTTCATCAGGGTATGCTCTTTTTTAGTGAAATAGTGAAGATATCAATCTCAAATATTTTTCTAAAATTGTTTATTTATATATATATATATATATATATATATATATATCTCCTCTCCCCTCTCTCTCTCTCTCTATATATATATATATATATATATATATATATAAAAATTATATATAAATTTTTATAAATCAAGAAAAATTTTCCAAAATCAGTGTTATCAATGTCCAACCGTCAAAAAGCAATGGGATAGTTACGCATTCACGACAAATATAAATATGACAATAATGTAGTGGGTGTATGAACATATAAGA